CATCAGGCTTATGTGGCAAATATATTTTACCCACTGAGAGCCATCTTGCTGGTCCTGGCTGGGATTCTGTTTTAATTTTTCTATTGCATTTTATTTATTTATTTGAGGGGAGAGGTATCTAGGGGGTTGGATGTGCATATACCATGCTGCCCTGCTTGAAGTTAGATGACAACCTGTGGTAAACAGTTCTCTCACACGTTGTGAGTTCTAGAGACTGAGCCTGGGTCATCAGACTAACATGGCGCCTATGGGGATTTCCACAGAGATCTACAATGCCATACGCAGGGCACAATACTGCTTCTTCAGGCTTCCTTCCACCCTGCAGACAGCTGATGCACAAAGGACCATCACCCAGATCCCACTGAGGGATGTTCTGAAGAGCCACTGTGCCCCTCTGCAGAGACACCAGGGTCATAAACAGCAAAGAAAGGCAAGAGGTTTCTAGGTCAACTCAATAGTTCCATGCAATAGGTCACCCTGGATTGGACCCCACACCAGCCGGAAACATAATGATGGAGGCCACCATTGGGGCAACAGCTGAGGATGGAGTACAGCTGGGTAAAAACATTGGTCCAGGGTCAAAGTACGTGAGGAGGCAAAAAAAAAAATATGCTGCCTAGACCGCGACAGTCTGTGAAATAAAGTGGGTGGGGGTGGAGGACCCAATACAAGAAAATGATAAAGATGGAGGGATCTGATTGGGCTCAGAAGTTCTCAACATCACCCAGCAACTTTGTGTATTTGAAGCTCAACTTCTCCCTCCATATCCACAGAGCATCCATCCCAAGGAATCAAAATCTGTGGGTACCAAAACTGCCAGATGCCCAGGTAGCATCATGCTTGCCCAGAGTCCCTGTACACCTTCCTGTAGATGTTCCATCAGCTCGGGCTACTTATAACACCACCAAGTACAGCGTCTAAGTGTGTAAAGAGGGGTCACGCTGTACTGTTTAGTAAATAAACAACAAGCAAAGAGTCTGTGACCGTTCAGTGTAGATGAGTTGATGACTTTAAATACCTTTTAGTCTCAGTTGAATATGCAGACTCAACCCACGGATACTGATACATAGTGAGGGCAGTGTTTCAAAATGTAAAGATAAAATAGTTGTAGAGCCAAGGAATTCTGGCTTGCTGAACCTGCTGGGTGGGGACAGGGTTTGTGAAATCTCTGATTGGGAGACCCCTTCCCTGGCTTCCTCCTCATTTAATAGGTGTTGGGGACAACAGAAAGAATTTTGCATTTGTTTGTTTGCTGTGGAGAGAGGCTAACAGTAGCTCACACACTGGTCTCAAACTCTGCCTCAACCTGGGGCGACAGGTGTGTGCCACCGCACCCAGCAAACATTTACATCTCTAGCACCATAGTATGTTTACGTGTGGCTCTTGCTGGTGGGAGGTCTCAAACACACTTTGAAACCAGAACCCCTGGCATCACTGAGGTTAAACTGACCACCAAGAGGAGGATACAGACAGAGGCAGAGACAGGATGGAGCAAGAGGTGACTGCAGGAACCAGGGCTTCACGTGAGGGACACCTGTATATCGTTTTATCTCCAAGTGGATAGCTTTGCATGCCTACTAAGCAGACATTCCAGGGCCTTGTGGAATATAACAGACAATGTACACAACAGAAACCTTCCTAAGCCTGGAATCCTTGGTTAGACTCCAAGCAACTCCTGGGTCTGATGGGTTGGTGCTGGGACAGGACCCAGGCACCAACACCAGCACCTGGTGAGCACGATCCTTTGGGTCAGCCCTATGGGATTATACACTTCCTACTGAAGTTGCCACCCCCAAACCAGTTCTCCCCACCGTCCTCTGATCGGTCCTGATCGTGAGATGGGCACACAAGCTGCCAACCTCTGTGGAGATGTGTAACTCTCCTCTCCCTCTTCCAGGGGTAATGAGCCTTGGCTTCAAGCCTCATTAAACCCCATTATATAATCAGCCCCATCCTGGGTATCTTTATAACCCCAGCAGTTGCCTTGGTGGGAACACGGCGGTTCAGCTCCATCACCCATTACTGCCGCCTGCTGCCACGGCCCCCACCGCACCAGGATCTGACTCAGCCTCCAGGTACGCACAAGGTCAGGTTCTTGGCTGGGTGGTCAACTCTTCCCCTTGTTTCCAGGACAAGGGACAGGAATTGCTTATAGAAGGGATAGCCACAGGGGCTGGAGGGACAGCCCCAGACAGGGTATAGCCTCTTCCAAGGTATCAGCTAAAGGAGACTACCTCCTTAGCCTTGGGATATGATTTCCAGCCGCTACCATGATGACTGTGATAGGGAGGTCACAGAGTTAGAGCCACTTGTGTCCTTGAATGGCTGCTGCCCTGAGGGCCGGAGGGCCACACAGGCAGCTAACGCCGAAACTTGGGAGTACTAGGTCATTCCTCAGCTTCAACCGGAAGACACTCAGGATGAATGAGTCGCAGAAGCTGCCAGGAGCTAGCTTTTCAGCCTCTCTCTGCAGCTGCCTGCTCCCCTCAAGGGATGGCCACCACCTGGATGCAATGAAGCAGTGAACGTGAACAGCGGAGCCCGGGGGGGGGGGGGGGGGGGGGGGGGGGGGGGGGGGGGAGGGCGGGGGGGGGGGGTTGTCACACGTGCCAAAGCAGCATGCTAACAGAGAGGCGTCTTCCACAAGACCACCGCACAGCTCCCCAAACCAGAAAGAAAGCGGAAGGCGATCAAAACGCAGGGGGATCAAGGAAGGTGGTCTTGCAGAATGAACGATTTCGCTCCTTCGCGGCTTTCCTGACCTTGTGACCTATGACCAGGTCCTTAATCTCAGCCTCCGCTTCTTCATCTCTAAAGAGGGCATGATGAAAGTTTCAACATTATAGACGATGGTGACGCAGACATCAGATGAGGGAGGGGACTTTGGACAAGGCCTGTGACCCTGTCACCACACCGCGAGGAGGGGACTTTGGACAAGGCCTGTGACCCTGTCACCACACCGCGAGCGCCGATGACTATTGGTACCGACAGCTGTTAGTATTCTCATCTCCATCACTGTTTCAGATCACTCCATCACGTTCTCCAAAACTCCCCCTTACTGAGTCACCACGGAGCTCTAAGCACCGCCCCCATCCTCTCCTCCCTACATCCCTGTGGGGTGGAACACATTCATCTGATAGATTCTTTAATTAGACATAGCCTCATCTACGGCAGCTGGGATCGGAGACCATTCGCCGAAGAGCCACACGTTCATGGCTTGCCAGGCTAAAGATGGCGGTGTGGAGGACACCCAGCCAGACATGCCTGAGCACCACAGGAAGGACATGGGCTGTCCCTGACATGTGATCGTTCACAGGTCTCATCAAATGATGGCAGGAAAGCTTGTTCACACCGGCAGGGAATGCTACGCAGCAGACCATATAAGTGAACTCACACTTTCATAAAACAAGCTTTGGGCTCAATGATTTTGCCCAACTTCCGGCAAATGGATGTATTCTAGTACATTAAGACATACTGGGTGTAGCATCTTTGGGGATGCCTGGATGAGATTCTCTAGGGCGGGCCTGGGTGCAGCTCCAGCCGCTAGGCTCTGGTACTCAGTCAGTACATTGGCTGTGTCTGGTGCTCGTCAGCTCATGGTATGCTCACTCATGGTGGACTTATTGGGTCCACCCCCACAGTAAACTGAGACTTGGAAGAAGGACATCTTACATCTTGGCTGACCCGTGAACACAATCGGTTGGCGAACCTTGGAGTGACTTGATTACTCGGCCAGCTGGGACTCTCACTCCCTCCTTTGTCCTGCCAGGTACCCTGACATCCATTTAGAGAAGGCAACGTCATTCTGCATGGATCTTGGAGGGATCTGGCACACAGACTCAGGCCCTAGCTACTAAGGAGGCTAAGGCAGGAAAAATTAAGTTCAAAGGTATCAGAGGCTGCAGAGTAGGTTGAAGACAGTGCCCAGCAATTTAGTGAGACACTGTCCTGGTAGTAGAACTTGCTTGGCTAACCTGGGTGAGGGCCTGGGCTTCATCCTGGGGCAGGGGCAGGGGGATGGAGGAAGATAAGGAAAGGAAGAACCAGATTCAAATCCTGACCCAACTACTAGGTAGCTGTGTGACTTTGAGGGAGATCTCTGGTGTCCCCAAGCCTCAGTTTCCCCATTTATACTATGGAAATAATCTATGTCTGCCATGGACAGTTGCAAGACCAGAATAAGGTACTGAAGGCAGCAATTAGCCTAGTGGCCACCAGATCAATGAAACAGCACAAGCAACCTGTGGCAGCCCTAGGGCACAGGACCAGTGCTTCCGGAAGCCAGCATCCCCCCTCCCCCAAACATCCCATCAGTCAACACACTCTCTTGCTGGGGGAGCAGCTAGGCTCACTTCAGTGGAGTCCCCTCTGCCCACATCTGCACCTTTTAGCAGATAGTGCCTCTGGGTAAGATCAGAACTTTCTGGAAACTCATCCCTCTGCCACCAGGGACTTCCATCTGTACTCAAGTCATAAGTACCACGACTCTGGCAGCAACTTGTAAATGTGGACTATATATCCCAGGCCACACTTAACCTGGTTTGAACCCCAATACGTCACCGAGATGCAAAAGTTATACAAGTTGACCAGCCAAAAAAACGTGCATGATGTCATTCACAGACCCCGCATGGATGGAGAAACCCTAAGACAAGCAGTTTGAAAGGCGGTGGGGAGCAGAGAGAGAAAAGATGGGTGCTCCCTCTCATGTACCCCTGACTTGACTTTCAGCCTTCCTTCCCACCTGAGAGCCAAAGAGCCGAACCTGAGGATGCATGACAGCCAGTCACCTCCAAGGGCCAATCATGCCCCCTTCAAAACCATCTAAGGACCCGGGAGCTAGCCGCACATGTGGGAGGTGGCTGGCAGGGGTGACCTGTGAGATTCAGAAGCCAGGGAGGAGAGCACATGGACCCTGAACCTGGCGGGGGAAGGTGGCTGGCTGCGCAGGTGAGGGTCTGGTGAGCCCAGTCAGTGCAGCCTGGGGGCTAGCAGGGACTTACTTGCAGAGAAATTGGCCTCCGTGTGGACGGGTGGGGTGGAGGGCAGAAAGGGCGCGTGGCCCACGAAGAAGGACCGCAGGGAGCGCTCGGACAGGAGTGGGGAGCGCTGCTGGGCAGGGATGTTCTCGCAGCTGCCCACGCCGCTGTGGATCTTGAGGTTCAGGGGTTTGCTCTTCTTCTTGGCTCTGAAAGGGAAGCAGAACAAGGAGACAGGGAGATGAGTCTGTCTGTACCATCTACACCATCAATATAAACGCTGCCCACCTGGCAACAGCTGGGCACCCAGGAAACACAAACACAACCTATAGTGGCAGAGACCATGCCTGCTGGAATGTAACTGGGCATCTCTCAGTCTTCTAGAACATTCCTGCTAGTAAGGCGTTTACCCAACACGTGATCACCTGACATTGACTTAAAACTAACATAAACTGTCTTTCGAATAATATTTTATAGGCACCATCGGGCGGGCTGGGTTTTTTTTTTTTTTTTTTTTTTTTTTTTTTGTCAACTTGACAGCAGCTACACTCACTTGGAAAGAGAGAGCCTCAACTGAAGAAATACCCCCGCAAGATTAGCCTGTGGGCAAGGCTGTGGTGCATTGGCTTGACTGACAGTTGATGGGGGCGGGCCCAACCTCCATGAGGGTGTCTCCAGCCCTGGGCAGATAGTTGTAGATTCTGTAAGAAAGCAAGCTGAGCAAGCCACGGGGAGCAAGCCAGTAAGCAGCACCCCTCCATGACCTGTTCTGCTCCTGCCTCCAGGATCCCACCCTGACTTTCCCTCTGAGATACAGAAGTGTAAGCTGAAACAAACCCTTTCCTTCCCAAGTTGCTTTTGGTCCTGGGGTTTCATCACAGCAATAGTAACCCTACAAACAACTATAAAATGTATACTCTTTTACTTAAAAAAAAAATTATGCCTCAAGAGACACCCCTAGCCCAACTCCCATTGACTAGTGTGGTGATGCGCTCCTGTAATCCAAGCACTCAGGAGGCTGAGGCAGGAGGATGCTGGCTTTGAGGCCAGCTTGAACTACAGAGCAAAGCTCTGTCCTGAATAAGCAAGAGAAAGGAAAAAAAAAAAAAAACAGGTCTCAGGATGATTTTTTTATTCTTTTTATTTTTATTTTTTCTGGACCTACTCCTTGTAAGCAGATCCCTGGGAGGTAAAGCTAGTCAATTTCCAGTGAGAGTCTTCACACTGGACGGAGATGGGGAGGAAGCGCTAAAGAGCCGGGGGCTCCAACCAGGTGCTGATTGAGCTCGGATGGGAGTTGGGCCAGGGTGTCTCTCGAGGCATAAACACAAAACCGAGTGTCTAAAACCTTGCGCTTGACCAAACAGGAGGCCTGAGAGTATTAACAGCATCGGTGGAGGTGGCAGCCGTCACCGCTACTCTGAATTAAGCGCAGGCGGCATCCCAGGGACAGAATCAAGGATGTCGGGGCATCGACTCGTTAAAAGCATTAAAGTCATCCTAGGAAGGACATCCTCTTTCCCCTGAGGACGACACAGGAGCGAAGGAGACGGAAGAACCTAGCAGAGGCCTCATCTCAACTGTGTCCAACTGTCCGTGTCTCGCCGGATCTCAGGGTGCCGCCACCCTGAGGCCAGTCACCCCCGGGGACTGCCCTTTGTGTTGTCTTGCTGCTTTCCCTGCTCGACGAACTCCTACACATACTCCATGGTCCAGTTCGAAAGTGATCATATCTGCAACATCTTCTAGCTCTCTGGGACAACCTCACTCTCTCCATCCTAGTATCCCCCGTTATTCTCTGAGGAACCCCCAGATCCCGACCATGGCTCCCGATAGCCATCCTCCATATCTACCCTAGTCCGGTCGCCTCCTCACCTTTGACCCTCCTGTCTCCGCGGCCCAGAGTTCCCTCCTCTGCGCCGCCGCTTTGATCTCTGTCTCGATAACTCAGTTCTGGCGTGTCTCCTTCTGCAACCTCCCAGCAGGAACAGGTGTTCTTCCTCCAGGAAGCCCTCTCAGATAGCCCTCTTCCCCCGCTGGCCTAAGCTAGCAGTTTCTTGTTTGTTGGTTTGTTTCATATCTGTATGGTCATGTTTTCCCATTTTCCCCAACATTTGTAATCTTCCTGGCAGAACACGAGTCTTGAAGGCGGTGACTCTAGATTTTTCCTTGTTTCATCCTTGGCGTCTGGCTTGGCACCAGGCACACAGTAGGTAGGTGCTGTGTAAGTGAGCTGCCTGGCACACCGTAGGTGCTGCTTAAGTGGGCGTTCTGAATGGAGGCTGTGGCCCAGGGGGCAGGGAGGAGGGATTATCACACTACATTCTGATTCTCTGCCTTCCCATCCTCACTGCTGGCTCCCCGAGGACAAGCACCAGGCAGATGGCGCGGCTGCATCGCTCAGCCCCCCGGCTTGGCACTCGTGGCGCCAAAACACACCTCACAGGCTGGTTTAGAACTGCCTCCCTTCTCCAGCGAGCTGGTCTAAGAGAGCTAGGTGTAAGACTACATCTCTCAACGCCTTCCCACCCACCTCCCTCCCCAAACTCCCATCTGCCCAGGACGGAGCCGAGCGCCCTCTGGTGGCTGCTGCAGAACCTGCTTGCAAACTGCCCGTCCTGGAGGTCTCTAGGCTTCCTTTGGGTACCACTTTAAAAAAAAAAAAAAAAAAAAGGGCACGCTCTGCAGGAGACTACACATGTCTGCCTGCCCAGCCACCCCTCTCAGTACCCCTGGGGCAGCAGCCAGTCCTACTTATTGTCCCTCAGGGGCCTGATGCAAGGCTCAGATAGGTACTCCCCCTTACAGCAGCTCACATCTGGTAACTTGTCCCTTGCCCAAGGCTGGAAAAAAATGAGGAAGCGAGGAGAGTCAGTGAGTCTCTTTCGCCCCAAACGGGCCAGCAGTGGGGATTTAAAGAGGTGTATAAACCAAGGCCAGTACTCAGCTGTTGGGGACAGAGAGACGGGACTTGAGTCATTAGGGATGAGAAAGCCTCTTTGTGCTTCAACTTCCCACCTGGACAATGGAAAGAACACTGGTCCCCTTCCCAGAAGACCATGCAAGACCATGAGGATCTATGAGGTAGCATGCTTGGCTCATCCTGTCATGAGCATGGCTATACTCTGGTTACATCTGACGGCCATACAACCATGCAGAAAGCCAAGAAAGAAACTGAGAACTGAAGCCAGGCTAGGCTTTACCTGAAATACCCAGGACACCCACCACCAGCCTTGGCAGGGGAAGGGGACATGGGCAAACCCCTAAGCATAAAGCTACGGTCATCCCCCACAGACACCTAGCGGATCCCGAGGCACTGACAATGAGGTCGTGTAAATCAGAGCAAGACTGGAGGGTCCCACATCCAAACCAGCAGCTCAGAGATGTCAGAAGAGATGTGGTTACCAATCCAAAGTCACGAGGGCAGAGAGGGCTGTGTAAATAACTGTCAGACAGAGGGAAGAAAGTGGGGGGGGGAGAAGGAAAGGAGATGGAAGGGGAAAGATGGGGAATAAAAAAAAAGAGGAGGAGGGAAATGAGAAAAGAAGGAAGATGGGAGAAAAGAGATGAGATGAGAGAATAACAGAAAAAGGGAAAGGGAAGGACGGGAATGGGTGGGCAGATGAGTAAGTGGATGGATGGGTGGATGGATGGATGGATGGATGGATGGATGGATGGATGGATGGATGGATGGATGGATGGGTGGGTGGGTGGTGGGTGGAATGGGTGGGTGGGTGGGTGGATGGATGGATGGATGGATGGATGGATGGGTGGATGGATGGATGGATGGATGGATAGATGGATGGATGGATGAATGGGTAGATGAATGGGTGGATGAATGGGTGGGTTGATGGGTGGATGGATGGATGAATGGATGGATGGATGGGTAGATAGATGGATGGGTAGATGGATGGATGGGTAGATGGGTGGGTGAATGGATGGGTGGATGAATAGATGAATAGATGGATGGAGGGTAGATGGATGAGTTTGCATTTCTACATGAAAGTTATTGCTTAGAAAATATGGGTTTTAGACAATAATTTTAAAAGATAAAAATGAGTTATGAGTGAGAAAGGGGTTTGAAAAAGACATTTTCCCCCCAGCAAGACAAATGAAGACCCAACAAGCATGCACGGAGAAACAGGAGACACGAATCAAACCAACAACATGCTACACTCCACTCTTCCTGGATGGCCATGCTCAAACACGAGGTGCTCAAATACCACGTGCTGATGAGGACATGGAGAACGGGAAGCCACCGGCTGGTGCGTGGCCGCTACGGAAAGCACTTCGGTCACACTTTGACCGTGTAAAACCAGAGTTTTAGACAACCCAACAGTCCTATTACCTAGATATGTACCCAAAAGAATGGGAAATAAATCTTCCACAGAAAGTGTCCATGGACATTGACACTTGACACATGAACACTGACAACCACCAAAGGGCAGAAAAAAAACCAAATGCGCATCACTGGGCGAAAGAAGACAGATGTGATCTGCCCGGATAATCAAATGCAATGCAATCTTATGATGTTCCAACTCATAGCCTAAACATGAGTGACCCTCAGAGCTGTCACGCCTCAGGAAGAAAGTTAGTCACAAAAGACCCACACATTCCAGTTTATATAAAACAATCAGAACGGGGTAAGTTCACAGAGATGGACAGCAGGCTGGTGGTTGCCAGGACTGGAGGACGGGAGGGGCGTGGGGCCCACCCAAGTGCACGTGGAAGCGCTGTTTTGCTGTTTGTTTTAGGGTCATGAAGGGCCCTGGAAGTAGGCAGAGGTGATAACCGCTGAGCCTCGAGTGTAATAAATGATACTGAAGGGTTAAAATGACCAACGGTGGCATCACGGTCATTTATCAAATTAGAGAAACTATTCTAATGTTGTACTGTGTATGTATCCCTTGAGGAGCTGTGTGATAAAGGTCACACAGCTTAACCTCTCTGAGTCCCAAGGTCTTTGCCGTTACAAGTAACTTCTACCAGGGTTGTTTTAAGGAGCCAGTGAGCTGGGTGGGAATACTGCAGTTGGCTGCTGGTGAATCCAGAGGGGGCTACTGGGGTCCTTCCTTTTTTCCTTTGTCAAGAAGTGCTTTTGCTTCTAGATAGGGGCAAAGTCTCTCCTGTGGGGAGGCAGGTCAGCACTCGAGTGAAGATAGACATGCGTCCGTGAAGAAGACCAAAGACTTCCTTTCACCCTGGACCC